TTTGTTTGTTTGTTTGTTTGGAATTAAGCACAAAGCTACACGATGGGCTATCTGTGCTCTGTCCACCACGGGTATCGAAACCCGGTTTTTTGCGGTGTGAGTCCGCAGACATGCGCTGTGCCACTGGGTGGCACCGTAGACGATGTCCTTCACATAGCCCTAGAAGAAAAAGTTAAAAGGAGTGATGTTTGGTGGCCGGGGATCAGCCCGTCTTGGCTTCTTTTTTTTTATGTAACATGCGCTTCTGAGTCTCGAAATTGTCGGTCACACTTCTTAATAGAATTCTAAACTAAGATATCTTTTCCACACACTCTAAGAATAGGCGAGTACATCTCTGCTAGCTACAGGACCCACGTGACCTTCTTTGTCACCATTTTTGTTAATGACGTATTTGGTGATCACGCATGCGTTATTCGTGATTAAACTTATTTTGGCAAAATGGTGTGTCCTTCATCCACCAGAAACCGTTTTGTTTTTTGTTCATCACAAAGCTAAAAATCGGGCTATCTGTACTCTGCCCACCGTGAGTACTGAAACCCGATTTTTAAAGTTATAAGTCCTCAAACTTACCACTAAGCCATCAGAGCCACAAATCGTCATATCGCAACTGTTACATTTTTTTTGTTCGTAACACGTCCCAAAATGTTTAGATAACCTGTGTTTTAATTAAACCCGATGTTTAAGAAGGAAATAAAAACATTTGAAGTTACAGATAAATATTTTGTGAAATACGTATACATACGACTGTCAAACATGTTCACAATATACTTTATATTATCATCGTACATTATTTATTATAACAGTTCGATTAGGCTAAAGCCAGTTGGAAATATTTAAACTGACACAGTTTTGATTCTTTAATCTATGCAAAAAGACTTTGAAAAGCGAATTAATTTAGGCTTAGCAAACACAACTTGTATAAAGACATAGACATCATTATCAAACAAACTTTAATAATAAAATAAGACTAGTTGTTACAAAATTTTAACGGCTATTCTTCGAGTCCAAACACAAAATTATAACTGAACACTAAAGGTAGTAGCTCGCCTTCGGGCGTAAACTCTGAAGGCAATAGCTCGCCCTCAGGCCTAAACTCCTAATATTAATTAAGAAAACATTTCAGGTCGGTAGTTGTTGTCTATGTATGTGATAAATGTAATTTCTAAAATACTTTCAACGAACTGATGTTTAAAGAATTTTCACTGAAAAATAATTTCCATAAATGTGCATTTATACTTCTGCATTAGGATTACGCTTAAATCTGAATTATAACATTTGAGCAAAAATTATTCATCGTAAGAAGACTACAAATGCGTAATTTTGTTACTTAGTTTCTTTTATCTTTTATTCATTTCATTAAGTTAAGAAACTGATAACTTAGAGCACAAAACTTCATCAGTTCTAGTTTATAGAAATGAACAATAAGAATTATAAAGTAGTGTTACCTTAGTAATCACCATATGAAGTAGTGACAAGTTTTGTTGTCACTTAAGCCTAATTGTAAGAAACTAGCTCTCCATAATGACACCTAAGCCTACTACTTCTAACGAAAGCTCAAGCGTCGTCGAGTCTAAGCCAGGAAAATCAAAAGACTTCGTGTAGCTTTGCGCGAAATTCAAAACAAACAAACAACGCTTCAAGTGATAGTCTGAGAGATAAGAAACCGGGTTTGGACATGGTTACAAGTAGTCTTAGAGATAATAAACTGAATCATGAGAACGTTTCAGGCCATAGTTTTAGAGCTAAGAAACGGAATCATGAGAACGTTTCAGGCCATAGTTTAAGGCTAAGAAACTGAATCATGAGAACGTTTCAGGCTATATTTTTAGGGCTAAGAAACTGAATCATGAGAACGTTTCAGGCCATATTTTTAGGGCTAAGAAACTGAATCATGAGAACGTTTCAGGCCATAGTTTTAGGGCTAAGAAACTGAATCATGAGAAAGTTTCAGGCCATAGGTTTAGGGCTAAGAAACTGAATCATGAGAACGTTTCAGGCCATAGTTTTAGAGCTAAGAAACTGAATCATCCGAACGTTTCAGGACATAGTTTTAGGGCTAAGAAACTGAATTATGAGAACGTTTCAGGAGAAAGTTTTTCGTTAGGCGTTAGGAAAGAATTTTATGTAAGTCAGTTCAGACAACAGCTTTTCATTAAGCCTAATTTAAGAAATTCAATCACGAAAGGATTTCAGGAATGCACGTTTCCCAAGTCGTTAAAAAGAAAATTAATTATGCAAATATCTCAGATATTGAGTTTTCATTTCTTCTCGAGTAAGAAACGGATATAAATCAACATGAGGAAGATCACTGTTGATATCGTTTGAGATATCAGTATCCCAATGATGAGATATCACGAAACAAGTATTCACAGAACAGAACACTTCATGTCGTTCAAGTTAAAAAATTCTGTTATTACAACATGTAAGAGAACACCCCTTCTTTCAGATCTAGGCTAAAAAATACGATTATGATAACATTTCAGGGAACATCCTTTTCTTGTAACATCTCTTCATCAGATTTAGACTCAGGAAATAAATTACGAGAACATTTCAGATAACAAGTCGTCCTCAGATTTAGGCTTAAAAATTAAATTGCAATGATATTTAGGTGAACATGTCTTTGTCGGATTTAGGCTAAGGAAATAAATTACAATAATTGTTTATCAGTTAATAAGTTACCTGACAGGTTATAATGCTTATAGATACTATTTTTCTGGTTTATTTTTGTGGCTATCCTCTTCTTTCCATTCAAATACACAGATCATTAGCTCCAACAGCCAAAGAAGAATAGGTTTGTTCCTGCCAAGCGTGGGGGAAAGATTAATTGTTAGTGACGTAATGGATGGCTGGATTCACCATCATTTTGCTGTGGATGTTCCGATTAGGAGAAAGGAAGGCGGGAAAGGCAAAGTCCCTAATCTTGTCTTTGATGAGGTTTTACTCTACCTAATTAATCACCATATTGTTACGTGTTGTTCATCTTGGCAGATCCGGATTAAAGGTTCAAGTTCATGGGGTTTTGAAAACATAAGAAGAAAAGCGCTTTGGTGATTGTTCTACAAACTTGTGGCTTATTCTGATTAACCAGAGCCAACGCCGCCTCTCTTATTGGACGTTACTCTTTGTAAATAATGTCCACGTATACCATCTGGTGAGAGGGCGATTAAACCCTGTGCAAACATCACTGCAAAACGTGGTATTTTAACAATAGGAGAATTGAAATATTTGAAGAAGACTTTAACCCCTTATTCTATCGTGTAACAATATTTCCAGACTTCAAAATGTTTACTAACATAGTTTATGTTTTTAAATCCTGACTTTATGATGTAAACCAACGCTCCCAAAAACTTTTTGTTTGCGACTCCCATTTGAGACATAAAAAATTACACGACTCCAGACAGCACCCGAAATAGCGTAGCAACATCTTCAAGGGGATATTTTCAAAGCTTTGAAATCTAGAACAAGGGTAGGCCTATAATTGTAATTGTCTTCTCGCGACCACGACACTCAGTCTGGTAACCGCCATGAGCATTCGCAGGGGTGGGGGGGGGGGGGGGAAAGTGAGAAACATACTTATCTCTTTATTCGTTCAGTACCCTTGATTTAGGCTTTGCTCCCATGTGGGCGCTCATGATAACCGCTAATTAAACAAAGTTACTGTTTATCCAAATGTTGGCCCGGCATGGCCAGGTGGTTAAGGCACTCGACTCGCAATCTGAGGGTCGCGGGTTCAAATCCCTGTCACACCTTTCAGCTGTGGGGACGTTACAATGTGACGGTCAATCCCACTATTCGTTGGTAAAAGAGTAGACCAAGATTTGGCGGTGGGTGGTGATGACTAGCTGCCTTCCCTCTAGTCTTACACTGCTAAATTAGGGACGGCTAGCGCAGATAGCCCTCGTGTAGCTTTGCGCGAAATTCAAAAACAAACAAACATTATCCAAATGTCAAATTCCTAAGTAAGTTGTATGAAAAATCATTTTTGAGTACACATATTATTTAACAAATAGTAAAATAATAACAAAACTACATCAAATAAAGCGAAGGATAAAATACCACCGAGATAGAATTGGAAAAATTAGACCAATCCATAAAAAAAGAATTCACTTTCTTTGATTAAAGTAATCTGCGGGTTCGAATCCCCGTCACACCAAACATGCTCGCCTTTTCAGCCTTAGGGGCGTTATAATGTGACGGGCAATCCCACTATTCGTTGGTAAAAGAGTAGCCCAAGATTTGGCGGTGGGTGGTGATGACTAGCTGCCTTCCCTCTAGTCTTACACCGCTAAATTAGGGACGACTAGCGCAGATAGCCCTCGTGTAGCTTTACACGAAATTCATAAGAAACCACACTTTCATTAACATTTCAACGGTGTTAAAATGTTAAGATTGGGTTGTGTCGATAAGCTATATAGAATGATAAGATATGGACTTTGTCAAGAAACCTTTGAAATTATTATGTTGAGATTTCGATTGTGTCAATAACCTGTTAAAAAAAATAGTAATTATTATTAAGTTGCTACGTGGTACGTGATGGTCTTTTCAGTCCGTGAGATTGAATCAGGATTTTTTCTAATTCAATTTTAGATATGAGTGGTACTCAAGATATTGCCCTAATTGCCTAAGCCTCGCCAAGTTCGAAAAATTAACGTTGTCCGCATCCCTGTGATGTTCATTATGAAGATTTCACAACATATATTGATATATTCTTATCATTAAAAAAATGCCTTTAAATATCTTTTTTTATGGTAGCTTGCGGATATTCTATATCTCAGGCAATTCATATAGAAACAAAATATTTTACAATATCCAGTAGCAAATAGGTGAGAAATTTACGCCTGACTGTTCTTGGATATAATCCAAATGAGCTCAAAATGAACGTTTCTAAGCCTAATGGATAGCAATAGAAAGCAACGCTTAAGAACTACCTTCGCTAGATGAAGATAACAAAACACAGAAAAACAAAGTTTAGATACTCTTTTAAATCGCAATCAACACTTTAATTATGCCTTATCTCCTCCTACAAACATGACTTACCTCATATTTCAAAAGGTATATTCCAAAAAGAAGACTATAAAAATCAGAAGTTAATATGGACAGGTTTACTGCGGTGGCGCTGGTGATTTTCATGAGGAAGGGCATGATGACGTAGAGAAGAAAGAGGCACGTGGAGAACACGAGGAGTGCAGCAACTAAATATTGTGGCGAAAATAAACATCAATTAACGTTCTTTAATACTTATTAATATTCATATATTAATATTCTAATTGGAAGCAATTTTATGATGTTTCCAATAAGGGTTTGTTTTGAATTGCGTGTAAAGCTACACAAGGGCTATCTGCGCTAGCCGTCCCTATTTAGGAAGGAAGGCAGCTAGTCATCACCACCCACCACCAACTCTTGGACTACTCTTTTACCAACGAATAGTGGGATTGACTGTCACTTATAACGCCCCCACGGGTAAAAGGGCGAGCATGTTTGGTGGAACGGGGATTCGAACCCACGACCCACAGATTGCGAGTCGAGTGCCTTAACCACCTGGCCATGCCGGGGCCCTAACCACCTGCCCATAGTTTTCGATACGACTTCTTATATTTGTTTAGTGAAATTATTTTGCTGTATGTGGTAAAGCTACTAAGGTCGTCTGACGCCGTATATAATTTTGAACTATTGACCAACAGAGGGAAGGCAGCCAGTCAGCAGTGTCCCACTACTCATCCACAGCTTAAACTGCGGGAAATATTTTGTGGCATCGCACGGTTCGAACCCGATTCACCACCTCCGAAGTCCAAAGCTCTTCAGGATTAAGAAAATCATTTAAAAAAATATTTACATTTTTTGCCATATGAGGGCGTTCTTATATTTAAATATTATTCATTGCTTTTAGGTTTCCTTAACATTAAAAACTGTTGTTTCTATTTAGCGAAAAGAAAAAATTTCCGATCATATGTCTTATTAAACATGTTTTGTGTCTCTTATTCCGGAAGTAAATATTCAATTAACCTTTTTTTTTCTATCAAAATCGAAGTTCTAAGTTTTTTAATTGATTTTCACCAGTCATCACATTTGTGTTCAAGATTATCAGGAATCATTGAATAAAATGCAGGGAAATAAAATTAACGAAACAACTGTATTGTACAATTTGAATTAATTAAATATACCAGTTGCGCACACGATTCTCTAAAGGGAATTCGGAGTATTTTTGACTTAATAACTACAAAACATCTTTATATTAGTCGCCCTCCAGTGGCCCAATGGTAAGTCTGAGAGCTTATGACGCTAGAAATCGGGTTTCGATTGCGTAGATCGTCGTGTAGCTTAATATCAAACAACCAATCATATTAGCCATAACGTCAAACAACCAATTACATTAGCCATAACGTCAAACAACCAATCATATTAGCCATATCATCAAACAACCAATCATATTAGCCATAACGTCAAACAACCAATCATATTAGCCATATCATCAAATAACCAATCATATTAGCCATATCATAAAACAACCAATCATATTAGCAATATCATCAAACAACCAATCATATTAGCCATAACGTCAAACAACCAATCATATTAGCCATAACGTCAAACAACCAATCATATTAGCCATAACGTCAAACAACCAATCATATTAGCCATATCATCAAACAACCAATCATATTAGCCATAACGTCAAACAACCAATCATATTAGCCATAACGATCCAATTTTCACACACTCTTTCACGTGAACAATTTTTTTTTATTATTTCAGTAAGATGCAAAACTAATTTTTTTAAATTAGCAGAGGGGGATACTACAAATAACAAAGGGGGTTACCTTCAGAAAAGAGGGCTTATTCTGAAATGTCATTTTAGGTTTCAAGGAAGAAGAAGTTAAAATGGCCTTAAGAGTTTTTGTTTTTAACCCTAAAACTACAAATAAGGTCAGGACTCCATCTGACTTTCAACACATTTTTTTTTCCAAACTATTTGTGCACCAAACTGCTCGCGGGTCTTCAAATTAATTACACAAATTATTGATGGATATCTATATTTACCTCGCATTGGAAATGAACGATTTCACCCAAGTTGTTGTTCATTTCTTTACATTAAGAGTTGTATATGACAAATAAAATCACTCAATATAATGCAAATATGGAACACGCTGGTAGTGAATGGTAAAAAAAAAAGTTGATAATTTGTTAAAAATAACTTGGGAAGAATATTAACAGGGGTCGGACTGTGAATCAGTTATTTCATGGTACGCGTCCCTTTTCCGTAAGAACGCGCTCCGCACTTTGGGACCTTGGATGAACTATAAGAGTGATTGTCAAACCCCAGTATTCGATCAAAAAGAGTTACCTAACAATTTTCTGTGGGTGTTCTTAACTAGCTATTTTTCCCCATAGTCTCAGTTCAAAATTAGGGACGGCTAAGCCTATATAGTCATTGCAGAGCTTTGGGCGAATCTCTTAAACATACAAACATCAACAAGAAACAGCAGGAGTTCAAATCAACGAACCATCGTGTGTTGGCATTTTGATAGTACAAGAAGACTTCTAGAACTTTCCAGAAGACGTGTTGTATCTGTTGACTGGGGGGTGGGGGGTGGAGCACGCGCTGGTCAAAAGAAGGAAGAATGGCGTGAAACCGTTAAGTGGTCAAGAACTTGAAGGAAGGAAAATGTTGTCTTACGACACAGTGAGCTTTAAGAAGTTATTTGTTTGTTGTTGTTTTTGTTTTTTTTTACAGACAATCCATATTGTGTCCAACTCGGGAATCGAAACACTTAGATATACCGCTGTCCCACCGGGGCGGGGGATTCTTTGATAAATTAACTTACAACACAGAATGAATAATCTTCAGAGCAACAGAATTCCTCAGACGATTGTCTAACACTGTGTTATGGTGTTAATATAATACTAGAGGGTCAGCAGAACGCTTCAGGTGTTATCCATTACCATCTTTAGCGGCTACTGTTAAGTAATATATCCACCTATATATATATATTCATGACAAGCATTATGCAAGCTTCATAACGATGCAATTTTAAGCTTAGAAATCCGTTAGGATCCTAACGGCTTTTTAAGCACATTATTCTAAATTATTTAGGCGCCAAACCTTTTTGTGGATCCATGACACTATTGATTGCAGGGTTTGTAATCATATATATATAAATAACAAATAATTAAATTAAAAAAACACACTAAAAAACAGTGATATTCCAAGTTTTTCCCACCGATCACTGCTGGGGGTCTTCTATGTATTTTACGTAGATTTGTTTGTAATTAAGCACAAAGCTACACAATGGGCTATCTGTGCTCTGCCCACCACGGGTATCGAAACCCGGTTTCTAGCGTTGTAAGTCCGCAGATTTCTTGCTTGTTTCTTACACTGAGCATATGCTAACAAATATACACATTAAATGACTCATTTTGCTGCAATATTTGACCCCCACCCTTCACCAATGGTGAAGGGTATAAGTACAAGTCGATAATGTCAAATGTCAGGATTAACACTATTTTTGAAGACGTAAAGCTGTCCCAAGTTGTCTGGACGACAAGGACGTAGGACCGAAAAAAATCTACTTATTGCGAATATGTACGGAAACATGCTTCGCATTTTTTTAGGTTTTAGTTTTGATTTGTTGTGATAAATGCAGACGTTTTCTGCCTTTAGTTACTTTACTTCTGCCATTCAACAGCAGATATAAAGAGCTTATAAATGTCAGCTCAGGAGGTCGCAAGCACTGAACTGAATTGGATGTGAAATAGACATATGTTAGACAGACAAAAAGGACACGCTTATATTTGGTAGCTAAATGGAGTATTATATTTTGCTCTTATATCTCCCATATTACAGCGATTTCCTTCGAAAGTTTGAAGTAAACAGAGTAACATAAATGTTTCCTCGAAGACTTAATACAGTTTTAGTGATTTGGTTCTATGTGGCTCATCAACAAACAGGATATATCACATATTTCATGACTGGTGCGGAAAGCCTGTTCTCAAACTTGTAACT